CTCGCGCCTGAACGCCGATGAGTTCCCCGGCGTGAATCACTCGTCTCGGCCTCGACGTGCCTCCCGCACTGCTGCCGACCTGATCACCAGCGTTGACGCCCACGTCGACGCCGCCTGCGTTGTTCACCGGTCGAGGAGACGCCGGTCGAGAAGGGTGCTCCGCCGCCCACAGAGCGCGGATGCCAGCCTCGACGACCGCCAGCGGGAGAGTCCCGTACTCGTTCGCCGCATGGCGTCTCCTCGCATCCTCCAGCCGTGCCTCCAAGGTGTCCACGACGCCCGCCTCAACTACGGGGTCCACCATGGCATCCAAGTACGACCGCCGGTCTACGAACTAGCTAGGTGAGGTGAAGTCGGCTAAACTGAGGGTGACGTCGCGTGTTCGATCCACGCTCACCGCACCATGCGGAGATAACTCTGTCAACGGGAGCTAGACTACGGGCTAGGCACGGGGTAGGAGTGATCTCTGCGTTCGTTCCTTAGTTGTTTGCCTGTGTTCACACTACTTAAGCATTCACAGGGAAATTTGGCAAGAGTTTCACTAGCAAAAGCCCACAACAATGAGGTTCAGAAATGCTGGCAACAACATTGGCATGCAAGGCTACATCAGAGCTAGCACAGCTGCTGGTCGACTTCCAGCGCAGCACGGTCGACCGCGGTCCAGCGCAGCAGAGCTCGCACCGCTCCAGCGCAGCAAAGTAGCGGCTTGCCAACGTCGCAAGTCTGCGGTGCGCCAACGCTGCAGCAAGTCGGCTGCATAGCGTTGCACCCGTATGACAATGGTGCATCTGCTTCGCAGGTGCGCGCAGCTGGTTGGTGCCCTCGTTCTTGTCACGTGCACAGCGCAGACGCCTGGCAGACTCCACGCCAGTGACTGCGCCCACCAGCCACGTCGACCTCGGGATACCACTCCCGAGGTCACCTTCGCAGAAACCATCCCGGCGACTTTCGCACACGTCGCCCGGGTATCCCGGACGACCGGGCAACCCCACCTGGCCGTCCAGCCCAGTCGATCGCCGGCTACACCAAACCCGGCGTCCCAGGGTCGGCGTCCTGGCGTCCAGGTCGGCGTCCACTCGCCCAGGACGCCGTCCAGGCGCCCAGGTCGGCGTCCAGGCGCCCGGGACGCCGAGCAGACGCCCAGGTCGGCGTCCAGCCTCCCAGGACGCCGTCCAGGCGTCCAGGACGCCGAGCAGACGCCCAGGACGGCGTCCACCTGCTCGGCGCCCTCCAGCCAGGCGCCCCCCAGCTTACCGCCCCAGCTTACCGTACCCACTGCTGCAGGTCGGCTGCATCCCCCGCACACCCGACCACGAGATCGGCTCCGCCCAAGCGAGGACGGGGCCAAACACAACTCCCGTTGACAGGGGGGAGAGGGGGCGAGCGACGATGAGAGTGATTATGACGAGAATGATGATAAGGACGAGGATGATGGCGACGGGTGGAATGACGATGACGAAAACTACCTACATAACTCGTTGTCCGCACTCGAAGAAACGAGGCGAACGATAACGAGCGGGTGCGGGTACCGCGAACAGCCGACGAGGCCCCGATCGCGGATTGGAACCGGCTTGGTGTGGACGATACCCCTGCCGCGAAAAGAGAGATGTGCATGGGAATCCTATATGGCGTTTCTGAGGCGACGGTGAAAAAATATCGCGGTTGGGCAAACGAGTACAAGCGGTCTATGGCGCACGAGTTGCCAAAACTTGACGAGGGCAGGTTTGGCGTCGAGGCCGCGTTGAAGGACAAGAACCCAGACGAGATTGGGGTCGCGCTCGAACAGAACATGGGTGAGATGTGGAAGAGTGCAAAGGGCGACGAACAGTGGTTCCACGGTCCAGAGACGAATCCGTGGTGCCTACGCAAGTATGTAGTCTTCCTCGCGAACGCGACGGTAGCTCAGGCGGACAAGATGGCGACACTAAAAAGGCCCGACAAGACCCTGGAGAAGAGACACCAGTGCACCTCTGCAATGCTGATTGGCCATTTCAAGGCCCTGAACCTTCTCATCAAGCTCGATGTGGCCATCTTCCGAAAACGAGTGCCGAACCTGCTGCACGACTTTGCGGAGTGTCGCATATGGGTCCGTGTTCAAGTCCGCGACCAGTACAAGCGTTTTATCGCGTAAGTATGCGTCACGTGACTAATTAAGCTTGTACCGCATGCCTGCCCTGTACGACCTCGTCAACTAACACGAGTAATATCGTGATACTGGATGCGCAGGGAACACATGGATCGCCATCGGAACACATGTCCGCACATGTACACCTCGGAGCAGTTCAAGCACATGATGCGGAAGACCAGCATGGCCGCCATCGTGAGAAGCTTCGCACTTGCCCAACGCGTTTACACGCAGGGCTTTCATCACGACCTCTGCATCCAGAAAATGACTGTGCTTGGGCATTAAACTCTAGCCAGCGGGTGCACGGTCAAGAACCTTCAGCTGCCAGACATGATGATGTGGAACCTCGGAGCTAAATCGGAAACTGATCCAGTGAGGGAGGCGTTCATGTTTGTCTGCGCGTGCAGAATTGGCAAGACAAATAAGGACTTCTCTCTCAACTACATTGTAGCAGTGCGGCACATAGACTGGACGCTGTGCGCAATCGGTGCTCGACTAATATGGTTGCACTGGGTGTACGACGTGGTTCCTGTCCTCTACGAAAATATAGCCCCCCCTCTCGACTTCTCAGATACTTATTCTTCCTCCTTCGCCATGAGAAGCAGATACTGCCCACGACTCATCACGACTGGGCGGCAAAGATCCTGGAGGACGCGGGAATCACATGTTTGCGAGTGGTGCATGCGACCAAGGCAGGTGGGGCGCAGCATGCGTCCGCGGACGGAAGGCCTTCGGATCAGCTGGCGAGACTGGAGGGATGGTGCTTCATAGATGTGATGACGAAGCACTACCTCACCACGATTCCGAAGGAGGCTACACTGCTGAAGGCAGGTTTTACAGGGGTGGACGGTGACTACTACCTGGGTCGCGCAAAAGTCCCGCCAAGCAAGGAACTGATGAAGCTATTGAGGGAGCACATTTTACTTTGGGCCGCCCCTGACAAAGGACAAAAACAGGTACGTTTGGGGCCGCGCATGGTACTTTTAGACGATCACGAGCATTCTTTATTGACCGCGAGCATTCTTCATTGACCGCGGCCATTCCTTATTGCACTCTGCCACCGAGTTCTTACCACGTTTTTGTGTTCTGGCAAACAGTGCATGCATTACAACCGGAAGATGGTCAGTGAGAACAAGACGGAGAATCAGGACATCACGGGACTCAACATTCTGCGAGAGCTGGACGGCGAGGGTCGGATGGCGGTCGCGACCAACCTAGCCATGTATTACACTCACTAGCCGAAACACCCGTACGTGGTCGGGAACCCGCTATGCGAGAAGGAGGAGTTTGCGGAATAGGCTGCAGATGTCTCCTTGGCGAATCAACTGGCCATAGTTCAGCGCAACACACCAACCCTGACTCGTGGCGCGGTAAGTACATGCATGATCGCATTAGTAGTTCGGCAGTATGTCAATGCCTAATCATGACCTACATGCTCGCGCTCTCTGTCCATGCAGGAGGTCAGTACCAGGATGTCCGCGCAGCACCAGGTGACTGTCCTCATGGAGTACCTTACCCATGCGCAAGCACACAACACCAGGCTGGGCTTACAGTTGGTCGCGACGCAGAAACGGGTCACCGAGTTAGAGGAGGAGGTGGCGGAGTGCGACTAGAAGCTGGCCGCGAAGGACGAGCGCGTCAACGAGCTGGAGGCACAGCTTTCGCGGCTCAGCGTCAGCAGCTCAAGGTCGACCGCGAATCCAACTCCGGCGAGCAATCAAGGTGCCGCTGACGCGTCCACCAATCACACAACACCCAGTGCCCAGGCTCCAAAAAGGAAAACCGCAGAGCCGACCATGGACGAGACGATTCGCGACGCGATCATGCTCCCATAGATCAGAGCGACCAGACCGTTGGACGGATGGAAGCTGTACAAGTCCGTGCTTGCGCTGATCCTAGAGAGTCTATAATCGCTTCTGGTGCCCCGCAGTGCAGCTACGCAATTGTCCGAGCTCATTGGGAAGGATGATGGCGGCCAGAACGCGATAAATCATGTCAAGCGAGTAATAGATTGTATCGCGAATAGGGTGGAGCAAGGAGACGACCTCACGGTAGTACTCGACAAGCTCGACCTCGTGTCAAAGGAGGTCGGCTTTGCGGGCCTCTCGGAAGGAACCGTGATAAAGAGAAGATTGTGGAGCTGGGTCTGAGCCAGCTCAAGAAGGGGTCAGCAGTGGAGGTGCAGTTGCGTGTGAAATGGATGCTTGTTTGCGCCCATCTCATTGATGCCTCTATTCCCGCGACCAAGTTTCCGGTTGCGTGGCCACAGTACTGTGCATAGATGCCACCACTAGAGTAGCTAGAGATACTTGTTCGCAACTGCTCCTAAATTGATTGATGATATTGTTCACGTAATGGTGCTTGTAGCCAACGATACTTCGAATGATTGTGTGAATTTCCATACATTCTGCCCTTGTGTGAAGGAGTTGTTCGCGTAGTGGTGCTTGATGTAACAGATTCTTGTTCGCGTCCGCTAGTATGCCTGTGCTAACTACCACTACATAATGTTCGCATGTTGGTGGCTGTTCAGGGTTCAATGCATCCCGGGAGTGTACGCAGCAAGTCGTACCGGGAAACCTATTGCATAGGTGCGCGTATGTTTCCAACGCAGATGATGCATTTTTCTGACCGCGCATCATTGATCGCGCTCGTTACGAGACAATGGCATAGGCAGAATCAAGACTTGGACTACAAAGAAGGGAGAAAACAGCATAAACAGAATATCCACTGCGTGAAAAATCTCAAGCAGAGTCTCATAGACAATCAACCTACAATAACAAGAGTCTCATGCGACTACACAAACAAGAGTATTGGGCACCAAGTGTTTCCCACCGCGAGAAAACCTCCAGCCTGTGGGACACCCTAACAACCACATTCACGCGGACCTCTTCTTCGCGGACAAACCCTTCTCATGCAGAGCGAGGTAGAGCCCGTTGGCCTCCATCAGCTTGGCCGCGATCTTGCAGTCGGACCATGTCATCAGCACGACGACTGCCTCATGCGCGACCATGGCGACCAGAGAGGGTTCCCCAAGGCGCCCTCCAAGTCGGTTCACGACTGCGGACTCGATGGCCTCTGCGACCTGCTTTGGCGTGACCTCGGTGGTGTGCTGGCGGGCAATCTCCTTCCTGGCCTTCTTGAAGACCGCGAGCATAATGGAGGGGTATCCACAGGCCTTTTCCCTAGGGTGCCTTCACTCTGCCGCGCCACGAATCCGGCATCGGCGATTCCATCACGATCGAGACCGTTGCAGGTCTCCCACACCATTGCGATCGCGCACGCGACCGCACCAGCAAACAGGCCGTCTTGGGCGCCAGTGACATCAGGCTCTTCATCTGCCACCTCCTTCCCCACCACAGCTGCCCAAGCGACCGCGTTGCCGAGACTGGATGTGGGACGGGTGAGGTCGCGGCAGGCCTTTAACATGTGGTGGTACCTGCATGAATGGGGAAATGCACTGCACGACATTGTTAGACGCGTAGTTGATCACGTACAGGGCATCCTGATGGAAGCAGATGATGATCACGATCGTACCTGTCAACGTTGCCGCAAAGGTTTCGGAGGTGCATGGTGGCGAAAAGGCCGGTGCACATCCCCCCGGCCGCAGAGAGGTCCCTGGCCACGGAGAGTTCCTCGGCCCACTCCCTTAACTGCTGCGCAGTCAGCTTGAGCCCGGGGTCTACTTTCTTGTCGTAACACATCACTGCGATCGCGGTGAGGTACTGCACCACTTGGAGGGAGTGATGTCACAACCAGCGACGTCTCCCCCCCAGCCACGGTTCGCCGACCATCCCCTCTCCACCCCTGGGTGGAGGGCGGATACCACAGCCCTTTCGCTTGCCGCTCGTGCCGCCGGTGTCGCTTGGCCCGACGAACCTTTGCAGCACCAGCTCAATCTCATCGTCCGCGTCCGAGTCGTCGTCGTCGTCGTGGTCCACTTTCACCGCGGCTGCAGGGGGCTTACAAATACCGCGGCCTTGATTCTTCGCCTTGACAGCGACATCTGCAGAAGGGGGGATTGCACGGGCGGTGGAGTTGGGTCCAGGCTGCCCAGGCGCGATCGCGGCGGTGTTGCCTGCTGCGGGCACTAGCGCGGTGGTGGTGGTGGTGGTGGTGGTGGTGGTGGTGGTGGTGGTGGCCGGCGGGGCGTCCTCAACCTTAGCCTTGCCCTTACCCGCTTCCACTGCCGTGGGGGCAGGCGGTGGTCTCGCAGCAGCATTCCCCCTGGTGGTTCCCCTCGGGATCAACCTTGCACGCAGATCGACCGCGCCCCCCTTGCTCTTCAGGATATTGGTGACATTAGGGACCGCGGGATCTTTCAGCCGCTTCCCTCCCCGGTTGCTCTCAGCCTTCCCTATCTCATTGTCCGCAACTCTCTTACCAGTCTCCTTGTCCGCGGCCTTCTTCGCCGTCTCCTTGTCCGCGGCCTTTTTCCCCGTCTCCATGTCGCGACCCTCTTCTCTGCCTCTTTCTACGCGACCCCGTCTAACCCCTTTTTCTGCGGTCCATCTGTGCCCAGTCGCGGCGCCTCACGACCGGAAAGCATGGCGATGACGGTGTTGAGAGCATTGGTGACGCCGCTTATTGTAATCGCGCGTTCGGAGGTGGCCGACATGTTGGATGATGCGCCGACGATCTTCCGGGCGACCTCGTCCGTCAACTTCTTCTTGGCGGCTTCCATGGAGTCGACGACCACCCGCTTCAGGTTACCCGTGCCATCTTCCAAGCGAGCAGCAGTGCGTTTCAGCACGTCCCGCAGGTCGCGATCCTCGGCCCTGTCCTTCGTGGCAGCCTTGGCTTCCTTGAGTGCCACCCGTTCCGCGTTCTGCATGTGAAGCAGCGCCTTCTCCACCACGCCCCGGAGATCATCGTGATCACCGTCGCAGATTCCTCACCTAGCTTTGCGAACATGCGTTCCTCAAGCGCTTCTGTGTTCGCAGCTGCTCGTCCAGGCGGAGGATTTCCTCGGCCAGCTTACCAGGCTGCATCTTCACCAGCTCATTGTATTCCCGCTTCCCCACGACCGGGCTCTTGCCCACAACATCGCACGATGGGGCCGCGCTTCGTGCATGGGGGGACAACGCAGTAGTGAGACGACGAATACTCTTCCTGGCACCCACGACCGCGACCGCAGCCCCAGCCCTAGTGTTCGTCACGTCCAACTCCTCCACCTCCTCCTTCTCCTTGTCCTCTTCCTCCTCCATGTCGTCCAACTCCTCCAGCTCCAAATCACCACCCTTGTTATCCATCACGACATCATCACGCTCCGCAGCATCCTCTCTGCGATCCCAACCATCCACCCCCTCCGATGCCTTCTCGTAATGTCCACCCTGAGGTGCGGTCTCATGTGCTTCTACGTCGCAGTCAGAGCTCGAGCCCTCGTCCTTGTGGTCCGAACCCACCTATTCCGCTGTCACCTCCACCCCATCCGCGGCGTTCGTGAACGCCAAAAGCAGTAGTGAGAGCGAAGGCTTTGGGACTAGAAATGTGCGATCCTGCGGGCTGTTCGTGTGACCTCCCACGTTCATTACCGTGAGCATCCCCCCCTGACCGTCCGCAAAATTGCACCTAGAATTGAACGCGAGCTCCCCTGCTGCGCATTTCGCGTCTTGCCGCAATCGGTTCGCAATGCGCGGTGCAGGGTCGGGACCAACAACCGCGTTGAGGTCGTTGAGAATTCTGTCAAACGTGTACCCACATGCGAGTGACCCGTAAGGGGTCTTCCAAGACGAGATATCATGAGCAGAAGGCCGCGGAAAGGCAGTATATGGTTAGAGCAAGTAGGTCTATCGTTAAATACCCCGCAACATATCATACGCGATCAGGGCATCGGCTTACCAGATCCACGAGGCGCGTCCGCTCTCCCAGCTGCCCCGACCGGACACACTGGATGGAATCACGCTCGAGAGCCTGGCAGACGCGATCGTGAAACCACCTAAAAGCATTGATAGATATCGCCGCGGTAAAAATGAGGACATATAACAAACACGGAAACATAATCGCGACCAGACATAAAACGACCTCCAGCAAGTACGAGCTTACTTGACAATCTTGTCGATCGCGGAAAGCTGCTCAGCCGTGGCAGTGGGGTGGGACGCCGACCCTGAGCACCGTTGGGACATCGCGACGATGACGGTGAAGGAGGCACTGGCGAGCTGGAAGGGCAAGGCGCCGCCATGGACGAGGAAATACGGAGCCTCATCGCGAACGGCACGTGGGAGCTCGTTGAGCGGCCCCCCGGCGTCAACATCATGAAGAACCGGTGGGTGCTGACTACGAAGTACCGCATCGACGACACCGTCGAGCGCGAGAAGGCGAGGTTGGTCGTGAAGGGCTTCACGCAGGTATATGGCGCCGACTACGACGAGACGTACGCGCCGGTGAGCAGCTACGTCACGCTGAGGATCTTCCTCAGCATCGTCGCTGTCCTCGACCTCAACCTGATGCAGCTCGACATGAAGAATGCCTTCCTGCAGAGCAAGCTCGACCGGGTGCTGTACATGTACCAGCCGGACTACTTCAACGACGGGCCCGACCGGGTGTGCAAGCTGCTGAAGAGCCTGTACGGGCTGAAGCAGTCGCCGCTGTTGTGGTACAAGGCGCTCAACGACGTGCTGGTCGGCGTCGGGTAGAAGAAGAGCCAGGTCGACGAAGCTCTCTACTTCAAGGTCGGCGACGACTTGCTCGCCGCCAGCAGCAGCGCCGCGAGGCTAAAGTAGCTGAAGGAGCTGCTGGAGGCCGCCTTCGAGCTGCGCGAGATTTCGCCAGTGCAGAAGTACCTCGGCCTGGAGATCGTGCGCGACAGGCCGGCGAGGAAGCTGTGGCTGCACCAGCAGGGCTACGCCGACAAGCTGCGTAGGCGCGGGGCGGTCGGACCCCGAAGACGCCGGTCTCCGTCGACGCCTACGCCGAGCTCACCTTCGACGACGAGGAGGCACAGGAGCGCCAGGAGGAGGAGTACTGGCAGAAAGTCGGCTCGCTGCAGTTCGCGGCGATGACGACGAGGCCGGACATCGCCTTTGCCTGCAGCAAGCTGGGGAGCGGCCTCACGGTGAGGAGCGACCAACACTGGCGCGAGGTCGACCGCTGCCTCGCCTACCTCGCCAACACGCGCGACACCGCCCTGGAGTTCGGCGGTGGTCCGGAGTCGCTGGAGCTGGTCGGCTACGTGGACGCCGACGACGCCGGCGACAAGCAGAACCGGACGAGCACGGGCGGCTACGTGTTCGTCTACGGAGGGGCCGCAGTCATTTGGTCGAGCCAGCGCATCAAGTGCGCGACGTTGTCGTCGACCGAGTCGGAGTACGTGGCGGCAACAGAAGCCGGGAAGGAAGGACGCCGACTTGGCAGAGTTCCGGCAGCTGGACACCGGGAAGCCGACTGTCCTTCGGGTGGACAACAAGTCGGCCATCACTGTTGCCGGGGGCATGGGGTTGACGGGCAACCTCAAGCACATGGAGCGACGTCAGGCCTGGCTGCAGCACATGGTGAAGCGCGGGAAGTTCGCGTTGAGGTACATCCCGACCACCGAGCAGCCGGCCGACTTCCTGACAAAGGCGCTGCACTACCCGGCCTTCAACCGGTGCTCCGTTGCGATCGGCCAAGTGCGCCTGGCCGAAGTCGGCGACGGCGACAACGACGTGCAGCAGTAGGTGCCATGCCCTCTTGCATGGCTAGTGTGGTGTCCGGCGTGCTGTGTGTTGTGTGCACGCCGCCGAGCTATTCTCCGAGCAGTGCTGCCGTGTGGGCTGGGGGCCCAAGCGTGAACGCGGCAGGGGAGTGTCAACGGGAGTTGGTTGTGCTTGGCCCCGTCCTCGCTTGGGCGGAGCCGATCTCGTGGTCGGGTGTGCGGGGGATGCAGCCGACCTGCAGCAGTGGGTACGGGGGCCACTGCAAGGGCGTTAAGCTAGGGGGCGCCTGGCTGGAGGGCGCCGAACAGGTGGACGCCGTCCTTGGCGTCTGGGCGGCGTCCTGGGTGCCTGCTCGGCGTCCTACACGCCTGGACGGCGTCCTCGGAGGATGGACGCCGACCTGTGCGTCTGCTCGGCGTCCCAGGCGCCTGGACGCCGACCTGGGCGCCTGGACGGCGTCCTGGGCGAGTGGACGCCGACCTGGACGCCAGGACGCCGACCCTGGGACGCCGGGTTTGGTGTAGCCGGCGACCGACTGGGCTGGACGACCAGGCGGGGTTGCCCGGTCGTCTGTGATACCCGTGCGACGTGTGCGAAAGTCGCCGGGATGGTTTCTGCGAAGGCGACCTCGGGGGTGGTATCCCGAGGTCGACGTGGCTGGTGGGCGTAGTCGCTGGCGTGGATTCTGCTAGGCCTCAACGCTGTGCTCATGACGAGGTGTGGAGCACCAACCAGCTGCACGCACCTGCGAAGCAGGTGCACTGTGTCCTGCGAGTGCAACGCTGTGCAGCCGACTTGCTGCAGCATTGGCACACCGCAGACTTGCGACGTTGGCAAGCCGCTACTTTGCTGCGCTGGAGCGGTGCGAGCTCTGCTGCGCAAGACCGCGGTCGACCATGCTGCGCTGGAAGTCGACCAGCAGCTGTGCTAGCTCTGATGTAGCCTTGCATGCCAATGTTGTTGCTGTAATTCTGAACCTCATTGTTGTGAACTTTTGCTAGTGGAACTCTTGCCAAATTCCCCCGTGAACCAGCAAGTAGTGAGAGCACAAGTGAACGACTAAGGAACGAACGCAGAGATCACTCCTACCCCGTGCCTAGCCCGTAGTCTAGCTCCCGTTGACAGAGTTATCTCCGCAATCACATGGATGTGACCACTACCTATCTTCATGGGGCCTTGAAGGAGGAGCTTTACATGAGGCAGCCCCCTGGTTTTGATGATGGGTCCGGCAGTATGCTGACTCATAAAACCGATCTATGAGCTGAAGCAATCTCCACGGCAGTGGTACCTCAAGTTTGATGAGGCGCTGATGGATTTTGGTTTTGAGAGGTCGGAGTGTGACCCCGCCTTGTACCACTTGGTGAGGCGTGAGGGCAGGTTGTCCCTCTACCTCTATGTGGATGACATTCTGCTCATGTCTTCGAGCATGGTCTTGCTGGACGAGGTCAAGGGTCTCTTGTCCTCTCGTTTCCGCATGAAGGATTTGGGGGAGGCTAAGTACTATTTGGGGGTGCAAATTGAGCGTGATGAGAGTGGCATCTTGATTCATCAGGAGAGGTACATTCTCAACATGCTTGAGTCCTTTGGCCTTTCTGAGGCTAACCCCGTGCGTACCCCTCTCCCTACAGGGTTCGACGTGCATGCACATGCTGAGGAGCCCTTGCTGAGAGATGAGTTGGTACAGCTCTATCAAAGCATTGTGGGGTCTCTCATGTATGCAAGCACGACCACACAGCCACAAATTGCTTATGCAGTGTCACAGCTGTCCAAGGTGGTGTCTTGTCCCAAGGCATTTCACCTGCAGGCTGCTAAGAGAGTGCTAAGGTACCTGAAAGGTTGTGTCAAGTCAGGTATCTTCTACCCCGCACACAGCAAGCCTCAGGTTGAGTTGGTGGGCTTTAGTGATGCTGATTATGCTGGAGATTCAGCTGATCGCAAGAGTCACACCGGCTATGTCTATTGCCTCAATGGTGCAGCCATCTCTTGGCAGAGCAAGAGGCAGCCGGTGGTTGCATTGTCCACCACTGAGAGTGAGTACATCAGTCTGTGTCAGTGCATTCAGGAGGGTGTGTGGCTGAAGCGTTTGTTTGGGGAGTTTGGGCATGAGTTTGCTGGTGGTGTGCCTGTGTATGTGGATAATCAGTCCGCCATTGCACTTGCACAGAATGCATGCTTGCATGGCCGCACCAAGCACATGCAGGTTCGGTGGCATTTCATCAGGGAGATGGTGGCAAGCGGCGAGGTGATCCTCCGATGGTGCCCAACCAACCGTCAAGCAGC